CACTGGCTGATTTTTGGAAGTAGATCTCTAGGCCTTTTTTCCTAGTCTGTAGGCTCCACTGAAACCAGTCCAGCAGCATAGCAACATTCAAGCCTCCACTGACAGATGGGTGGTGACTTCGTATGAGGTACATTGGCCAAATATGAAATCCAGATCTCCTGCATGGACGGCGAAAATTCAACTAGCAAACCACTGTTGCCCCTGACTTGGTGCACACTTGGTTAAGCACACTGCATAAGTCTGACCCACCAACAGCTGCACAGAGAAAAGACCTGGAGACCTGTCTAGGAAGCCCTATGGGGCAGCTCTATTCTGTTCTATAGGTCACTATGAGTTGGACTCAACAATAGCTACCATTTATTCCATGCCTACTGAGTGCCAAGCACCACATGAGATACTCTACTCCATTATTCTCTGACAATCCTATGATGTAGACCCATTTTAGACCCATTTTACTGATGAAGAAACTGCTCCTCTTAGAAAGTAAGCAACTTTTCCAGGGCAATTAAAGCACCTAAACTCATAGGTAGAGAAGCCTGGATTTAAGCCCATATTTCAGACTGTCAAAGTCCAAGGTCTCCCCACTGTCCTGGGCTGCCTCACAGCAGATGTGTGATGAGAGGATGAATTTGTAGAGAGAATCAGTGATAGACATGAGGAGTGAGCAAGTGAATACACATAAAAGTAAGTGAACCTTGACTGACAGAGGGATGAAGCAGCAGCTGATGGATTGAATCCATACAAGTGAGTTGACTAAACCATAACCAAACCTTTGACCACCACACAAATCCTCTGAGCCTGACGAGGTTCAGGCACCACAAAGCAGGCTCTGGAAGGGTGGGGGTGTCTGGTGAGCTGGTGAAACCCCCACCTCCACTGCGGTCTGTGCATGGTTTAATGAATCTCTTCAAAGTTGGAGGGAAACAAGGGGGAAACTGCACAACAGAGATGAATTTCACCAAATCCAGTACATTTTTCACTGCTTGTTAATTAAGCAAGCCTCAGTGGGGAGTCCAGGCCAGCAAATCAGGACAGGAAGTTGGAACTGACATTATCTAATTAGGTCATGAACTGTGCCTGGCAATCAGGGCAGCAGGCGAGAGGCCTGTGGGCACCGAGCTTTCCCACTCAGCCTTCACTTGCCTGTCATGCTGCGGTTTCTACATCCAGCTTGTCCCAGGGCTTCTCCACCCTCCATGCTAAGCACTGACAACTGCTGCCCTCACCAGAGCCCCAAAGGCCAGCACTGAGCAGCCAGGATCACAGACTGTGGCTCAGTTGAAGCTGGGCTAAGACAGGTGAGTGGGTGTGGACGGCCCCCAACCCTGGGTGTCTCAGGAATTTCTCACAACTTTGGAATTAGCTTGATGTGGAGGAAAAGAATGTGGACATTGGCCTCACGATATCTGATTTTGAATCCTGGGTCTGCATAATGGTTAACAGCCCAGGCTGGCTCTGGTATCAGCTGGGCAGGAATTAAATTACTGCTTGGTCATTTATTAGCTGTGTGCCCTAGAGCAAGTGGCTTCAGCTTCTCTGAATTTCCCTTTCTTCCTCTATAAACAAGGGGGATAAATAACACCTCTAATGGAATGTAGTTGCTGGAAGATCATATGGCACAGTGAAAGGAGATGCACAGCCAAAGGCTTGCCCAAACCAAGTGTTCAATAGACGTTACTCATTAGCATTGACACGACATCCTCATTACTCACTAGAACAGGGGTCAGCAAACTTTTCCTGTAAAGGGCCAGATAGTTAATACCTTTGGCTTTGCGGGCCATTTGGTCTCTGTTGTAATTACTCAACTCTGCTGATTTACAATGAAAGCAGACATAGATATACCTAAACAAATGAGCATGGCTGTGTTTCAATAGAAGTTTATTCCTGGACTCCGGAATTTCAATTCTGCATAAATTTTTCAGATGACATAAAAGGTTATTCTTCTGATAATTTTTCAACCATTTAAAAATAGAAAAAAAAAAATTTCAGTTCAAGGGAAGTACCAAAACAGGCAACAGGCTGAATTTGGCCCACAAGCCATAGTTTGCCAACCCCTACGCCAGAACATAATTTCCAGGAGAACAAAAGATTTTTGTCTATTTTGTTCATTGCTCTCCAGTAAGCACCTAAAGCAGTACGTGGCAAAGAACAGATACTCAACAGATAATCACTGAATTAATGAATCACAAGCTGTGTGAGTCTGTGCAAGAAATCACTCCCCCTCTCTTGGTCTCAGTTCCTTCATCTGGGCAATGGGAATGTTTGCACCCTTGAGGTGAGCATCCAGTGTAAGGGGAATGCATACAGATTCCCTTTGCAAGCTCATCAGCTGCTTTACTTTGTAGCCACTGTTTCTGATCACATGGGAGCCCTTTCTCAGATCAAGTCTCACTGCTACCCAGAGTCTGGCATGGAAGAGGTGTTTCATGAGTCTGTATATTGAAAGCAATCTGACCTGGAGGAGGAGAATGCTACTCAGGGAAGGCTACCATCCCCTGAATAAGTTAAGGAGTTGGGATGCAGGACGTTGGCCAGGAGCAGCCAGGTGGTCCCAGAGCCTGATGAAATTGCAAGGACTTTGTTGGCACCCTGAGAATATCCATTAGATCAGCGAGACAGTGGGGTAGACCAGAGAGAGCAGGGGTGTTGGAGTCAGACTAACAGGCTCCAATTTCTGGCTCCAAGATTTACTAACTATGTGATGTTAGGCAAGTCATTTGAACTGCCTGACACTGTTTCCTTGTCTTTAAGATGGCTATAATAAGAGTGCTGAGCTCACAAGGTTCTGGTGAGTTATGAACAGATGTGTGCAATGGGCTCGCTCAGCACCTGGTGTATAGAAGCCCTAAGACAATGAGGATTCCCACCCTCCTCTTGTTGAGTGGGGCAGGGTCTGATTCCCAGGCTGGGTCAGCCCATATGGCCTGGGAAAGATGCAGTAATTTGTTCTGGCTTGTTAGCAGCCTCAGGAGGTGGAAGGAAAAATTGCCTCCAGCCTTTCCCTCCACTCAGGTTTTCAGTTCTAGGCAAAAACAAAAAAAAAAACTTGCTGGTTTTCTTCTCTGGATTTAAAAAACTTCCTGCTGCTCTGCAAACTCACCAAGGCCAAGAAACCCACGACTTTGGAAGGGCTGGTTATCACCTTCCAAAGCCTCTTTCATTGTCTCCTCCCATTCTTTCTGCCAACCAGACTTGAAAGAAGTGAGCAACCAATCCCATTTGGCCATTTGTTAACTGTTCAGGAAGAAGAGTTTGTGAGGGAAAAGAGGGGATTATTCACCACATGAAGGTAGAGATGCTTAATGTATTTCCTTTTTAGAATCTGTCTCTTTATGTTGCTCTCTCTCTCTCCACCCCCTCATCCATCAAAGACCACACACACGTGTATGTGCTCATACAACCAGACAGTGCAATGAAACAGAGAGAAGTATAATTGGTTACAGTCTTGCAGGGCCCAGGTTAAGATTCCAGTTTTACCATGTAGTAGCTATATGACCTTGAACAAGACATTCCCTCCTCTGCCACTACTAGGTAGTGGGACCAAGACCAAGGATGAAGATTGATTTCTCTCCAAATCCAGTGCTCATAATAATTGGACTCAAAGACTTTCAACCTACCTTTCTATGTGACCTTGGACAAATTAGTTCCTCATTCCAAGCCACAGCTTTCTCATTTGCACAATGAGCAGATTCCCCAGCCACCCTCCTTCTCCAGCTTAGAGCATTTCTGAGTCCATGATACTGTGACTCTGTGCTGGTAATCTGGGCACCTAGCACCTCAGGTCAAGCCCAGTCAAGGATTTGTAGATTTAGAAAGAAGGCTAAAAGGTAAGTTGAACATTTGTTGTATAGTCCAAACCAAAATGAAGAATCTAGGGGAAGGATGAAGTTTATCTGGGCAGCCAAGACTAGACTGCAGGAGAAGGGAGCATTTGGACCTGTCCACAGAGATACTCAGAGTACCTGTTGTTTTTGTTGTTATGTGCCGTCGAGTTAGACCAGACTCATAGCGACCCCTCCTTGAGTTTCCGAGGCAGTATCACTATGGAAGTAGATTGCCCGACCTTCCTTCCGAGGAGTGGCTGGTGGGTTTGAACTGCCAGCCTTCTGGTTAGCAGTCAAGTGCCTTAGGCACTACGCTACCAGAGCTCCCCTCAGAGTACCTACCACCCCCAATCCCACAAGCACTACAATTGTTACTAAAACATACAAGGCCTTCTCCTAATAATTGGCTAGGAAATCTATCAGGCAGAGATTCAACAACGCTCTCTGCCACAGTGCCTTAAGGGCCCATCTGCAGGCTCCGAACCACTCAGGTCTGGGTGGAATAGCTGCCTCAGCCCTGCAACCTGGTGGAAGGTTGGGGGGAGGCTGGAATTACTGGGTTGTCCTTGACTGGGCTTGACCTGAGGTCCTAGGTGCCAATCACGTCACTGCATTTTTTCTCTAACTCCCAGCCTACTCTCATGCCATTCTTGGATTTAGGCTTGCATTTCTCTCATCCAAGTCCTATAGTCCTTCACTGGGAGGGGTGCTACTTTGCTTGCCAAGGTATCCAGTGCCCACCCTATTCCTGCCTATTCTATCCCCCAAAGAGCTAGATCCCTTTCCTTCTGCTGGGGTTCTCCTGTGAGTGAAGGACCAGTCACCTCAATCCTTACCACCACTCCCCACCTGACTTGCCTGCCTCCTGCTGTGTTCCACCCTCTGGACTTCGTAACTTGACTATCTCTGTTGGTCACTTCACCCAGAAAGTACCAAGTGCCCCTTTTGAGCTCTGCCTTTCCTGACCAAGCTCCTCAGTCCCTGTAGCCTTCACCTCTTCAGTGACTCACACAGACAAGATTCCAGCAGCCCCATCTGAATAATGACTGGAAAAAGGAGGCATTCAGGGGACTTGGTCAATGAAGAGGCCCAGATGGCCACAATGAGGTATTTTCCCACCTCCCAGCCTAGTTCAGGGCCCTCAGGCCCTGCCCATTCTACCAGCTGCACCCTTACCTTCTCCAGCTGGTGGACACCTTCTTCCACACAGCAGATGGAGGCCAATGTGCGGAGCGCCTGGGGGTACAAGCACCGGAAACTGTCCTGCCGGCAGACCTTGAAGAGGGCTATGACCCCACCCTCCTGCCAAGAAAAGAAAAATGACACATGACCTTCCCTGAAGTTGACCCAAGAATAATGAGCATGACTTCGTCAGCTGATGTGTTTTGTGCCCTGCCCTCCAACACACACACACATACATACACACACACACTCACATGATCATATGCTGCCATGCATGCTGTAGTGAAATGCTGGCTCCATAGTATTGTTACCCTTTTATAGCCCAAGCTGGGGTGATTTTCCAAATATTTCTGGGGCTTAGGGGCCAGGGGTTAAGAGCATTCAACAGAACTCACTGTGACCATGACAATTCCTTCTCAGTAGTCAGGTATGGAGTAAGCCTGCAGTCATGGGAAACAGTTCCAAGAAACTGTGGCAGGTGTAGGGAATCAAAGACTAAATGCCCAGGACTGGTTCTCATTTCCTCAAGAACCATGTTACTCATCACATCCACCCAACTGCCATACGAGGTGGACGAAAAGGAGTTTTGTTTTTAGCAGTGCTATAATTTATTCCCATTTGTGGAGGAAGAAATGGAAGCCTAGATGAACAAATCCACATCACCCTTGTTTTCATTCTTTTACTCCAGTATATAAAAGAAAGAAAGAAAGAAAAATCCTTCAGAGATGACCAGCCCACGTCCTGAGCATGAGTGTGTACTAGTCCTTTTGCAAGAGCTGTTTATAGTAAGACCTCTATCTTGTGGAGACTGCTCAGGAGAGTGTCCACCACAGAATCTGGAAGTAAGGAGCTTAGCTGCCAGGTGTCCTGCTAACCAGTCATATTTGTTCTGTAAAAATCACTGAAGCCACTTGAGCTCTGACACCAAAGTGAGAGACAGATCAAAAAGTTTGCTTATTATTGTTGTTGTTATATGCCGTCAAGTCGCACCCGACTCATAGCGACCCCTCCTTGGGTTTCCAAGGCAGTATCACTACGGAAGTAGATTGCCTCATCTTCCTTCCGAGGAGTGGCTGGTGGGTTTGAACCGCCAGCCTTCTGGTTAGCAGTCAAGTACCTTGGGCACTACGCTACCAGAGATCCTAAGGTTGCTAATACTCACTATCTAACCAGAAAATCAAACTCACTGCCATTGAGTTGGTTCCAACTCACAGAGAACCCTACTTGGGTTTCCAAGTTGGTATCTCTACAGAAGTAGATTGCCCAGTTTTCCTTCCAAGGAGTGGCTGCTGGGTTTGAAACACCAGCCTTCTGGTTAGCAGTCAAATGCCTTAGGCACTATGCCACCAGAGCTCCCATACTCACTATGGCACCCAGCAAACTGGTGGCAACACTACCTTTGGCATCCAGAGAGGGAAAAGCCAGGCCCCGATCTGGCTTTGCTTTTGTTTCCTCCTCTGTCCCCTTCCACAGGGAGTCAGAATGACACCTAGGAGTGGCAGCAATAAAGAACACTCAGGCAATTAATCTAAACTTGGTCCTGGGGGCAGTCACTTTTAACCTCATCATTCCTGGTTATAACGTGCCCCATTGCACTCTGTTCCCAAAATTAGGAGCTCTGGTGGCATAGTGCCTAAGGCATTTTGACTGCTAACCAGAAGGGTGGCGGTTCAAACCTACCAGCTACTCCTCAGAAGGAAGGTTGGGCAATCTACTTCCAAAGTGATACCACCTCGGAAACCCAAAGAAGAATCACCATGAGTCAGAATCCATTCGACGGCAGTGAGTTATGGGAAGAAGGTAGGTTCAGTAGAATACTATCCCCTGTTAGATTTTGAGATATCTTTCAGCAAGAATACACAAACACCTTGTTTTGGTTACTTCTAGTGACACTCTAACAGAAATATGCTACAAATGTGTGGTTTTAACAAACAGGAGTTTATTCTCTTACAGTTTAGGAGGCTAGAAGTCCGAGTTCAAAGTGCCAGCTCTAGGGGCTGGGTGAAAGCCCCTCGACCTTAGGCTTCAGCTCTGCCTCTGCTCCCAGCCCACTCAAGCTGGAGGCATCTCTTAACTCAGGCAGCTGCCGGCTGCTGAGGCTGACAAACCCAAGGTCAACAAGTAAAATGTTATAGTACCCAAATTATCAAACCACGTGGCAGGTCACTAATTCAAGTTCATTAGCAGTCCCAAGATTGGCAGACAACAAGGCAAGGCATCGAGATGAAAACTCAGCTACACGCAGGGTCCAAGCATGCCAAAAAGCTGCAGAGCCCTGTCTCCATGCTAGTTCTTATATACTGGAAGCAGACCACATCCCTAAGGCAGCTACACAGCTGCTCACAGTAGATTCCACCATGGAGATGATTATCCGTCTCATCATGGGGAATCACTACAGCCAGCTGCCTAGCCACTGAAAACCAGGCCCAGCCAAGTGGACATACAACTTAACTACCACACACCTACTACGCATCAGGTACTGTACTATGTGCTGGGGATGCAGCAGTGAAGGACTGAAAATATAATTCATGAACAAACAGAAGCAGCAGCAGGGACTACCACAGCAGAGCACAGGTTCACTGAAATAAGTCAATCCCAGATCTCCCCATCCCCTCTACCCCCCAAAGATAGACTCATGGGTCCTTTCATCCTACAAGTCTTCCTGCTGATAAATACAGGGACCAAGTTGAAGGAAGGTACCCAACTCTGGGGGAGCTGATGTTTCTGACATCTTATCATCAGCTAAGAGTGATCTCTAACTCTCCTATTCCTGTTTCCTTCTGAGGTAATTGATTTGGCAGAAAAGGAGCATAACATAGGGCTGGTAAGTTCATTCATGTATTCGAAAAATGCTGTTCATTATAAACCACACACCATGCTTGGCACTGACCACAACTGCCTAAGTTCCCATCTGCACTGAACTCATGATCTGGCAGGACAGGCAGACAATTTTAAAAGCAGGTACAATACTAGGTAGAGGTACAATGAAATGGGCCCATGGTGGGATGGGGGTGAGGGACTAGGGGATCACAGAATGGGAGCTGCTAACAACAGCTAAGAGGGCTTTATAGAGAGTTAAGAAAGAACCACTGGTTTTATTTATTTACTTGTTTTACTGTCGTTTGGGTGAAAGTTTAAAGAGTAGATTAGTTTTCCATTCAATAATTTATATGCATGCTGCTTTGCGACATGGTTGCGCTCCTCTCAATGTAACTGCACTCTTTCCCCTTGGTCCTTGGATTCCTGTTCCCATTCATCTTTCTTTCCCGTGCCTTCCCTCTTGCCTCCAACCTTTGCCTTGGGGCAAATGCTAACCTTGTGGTCTTATGTGGTTGATTGTACTGAGGCATACATTCTTCCCTGGTGTAATTACCCCCTTTCTAGGCCTGTCTATTGTTTGGCTGAAAAATGAGCCCCAGGGATGGGTTCACTTCCAAACTGGAAGGGTGTCCAAGGGCCATAGTCTCAAGGCTTCCACTAGTCTCTGTCAGAACAGTAAGTCTGATTTTGTCTATGTTGTTGAATTTTGGTCTACTTTTTTTTTCTACTTTTTTCCCCCTCCCTCACTGTCCAGGACTTTCCACTGTGATCCTGATCAGAACAGTTGGTAATGGTAGACAGGCACCATCTAGTTCTTCTGGTCCTTGGGCAGTGGAGGCTGTGGTTCATGTGGTCCATTAGTTTTTGGACTAATTGTTGGCTTGAGTCTTTGGTTTTTTTCAGTTTTCTTTGCTCTGGATGAGGAAAGACGAATCACTGCATCTTCCCTGGCCACTCACAAGTTTTTAAGACCCTTACTTTACATCACCAAAGTAGGATGTAGAACATTGTCTTTGTGGGCTATGTTATGCCACATGATGTAGCTATTCTCCAAGATTGTGGTCCTAAGTTCCCAAGCCCACTATTATAAAAATTCAAGAAAAGGTTTACATACAGAAAGAAATAGTCTTTGATGCTCACCAAGGATGGGAGGAAAAGGAAGGGGAAATCACTGACTAGAGAGTAGACAAGTATTAATGGGAGTGAAGGGAAAGGCAAGATACAATAAGGGGGAGGGCAGCACAATGTAACCAATGGCAAAGGAAATCACTGGGAGGTACACAAGAATAAAATCAACAAAGGTAAACAGTTTCTTAAAAGCTTGGATTGTGATCTGGGTAAAAGTTTACAGAACAAATTGGTTTTCCATTCAGCAATTCATACACATTTTGTTTCCTGACACTGATTTCATTCCCCGCAATGTAACAGCACTCTTTCCACTTCCTCCCTGTACTTACCATTTCCATCTGTCCTTCTTTCCTATTCTGACCTGCCTTCTGAGCTTTATCCCAGGCAAATGCTGCCCTTTTGATCTCGCATGGTTGAGTGTTGTAAGGAGTGGGTACCTACCTAGTGTTATTGTTCACCTTACAGGCTTATCTATTGTGGCTGAAAGCTGAGCTATGGGAGTGAGTTTAGTTCCAGGTTTGAAAGGCTTCTAGAGGTCATACTCTCAGGGGTTCTATCACTCTCTCTCAGACCAGTCTGGTCTTTTCTATAATTGTGAATTTTGTTTCACGTTTTTCTCCCATTCTATCCAGGACTTCCTATTACGGTCCCTTCAGAGCAGTAAGCAGTGATAGTCAAGCACCATCTAGTTCTTCTGGTCTCAGGGTCATGGAGGTTCACATGATCCATTAGTCCTCTGGACTAATTATTTCCTTGCATTTTTATTTATTTATTTATTTATTTTTATTTACTCTCTTTGCTCCAAATGGCAAGAGACCAATATTTACACCTTAGATAACCACTCACAAACTCTGAAGATCCCAGTAGCATGTAAAACATTGTCTTTAATGTTTTATGTGAACTCTGTAATGTCAATTGACCTTGATGCCATCTGAGATATGGTCCTGAGCCCCCAGGCTCAGTGACTCATTGCCTCAAGGTATTTGGCTATGGCTGAGAAATTTTCATAACTTTGCCCCATATATGCTCTGCTATATTCATGGATATATTTGCAGCACATATAAATACATACGTAGAAACATTCTCTGTCAAATCTGTATCTATTCATGGGTGTGGTCCCATTCACCTTCCAACACCTGTTCTGCTTGTTATCTATGTATCCACTTGTGGAT